AAAAAAAAAAAAAAGAAGTCTGTGTCACTAGAACCTGTTAGGTTGAAATTAGATGTATATAGCATGGTGTAAAGCAATGTTACCAGATAGGGTAAAGTAGATTATAAGACAGTCTGCAACAGTTTTTATCAATCCGAAAGTTCATAAACTTCATTATCAGAAATGGTTATTGCTTAGGAATATTGAGAGTGATGAATAGATGGAAAGAATCTAGTATGGGTCACTGTTTCAATTTTTATTAATTCTTTCTTTTTGTAGCCAGATTTTTAAAATTAATTAATTAATTTTTAGCCAAAATTTTTTAGACCTTATACAGAGAGAATTATTATTTATTTAGTTTAATAAATATTTATTGATGTCAATTTCATGCTTGATCTTTGCTAATTTGGTATGTCAAAAATAGTATCTTAATTTTTTATTTATTTTTAAAGATTTTATTTATTTGTCAGAGAGAGAGAGAGAAAGTGAGAGAGCGAGCACAAGCAGGGGGAGTGGCAGGCAGAGGGAGAAGCAGGCTCCCTGCTGAGCAAGGAGCCTGACATGGGGTTCTATCCCAGGACCCTGGGATCATGACCTGAGACGAAGGCAGATGCTTAACCTACTGAGCCACCCAGGCATCCCTTAATTTTGCATTTAAAAGGGTGACTTGTCAGGGGTGCCTTAGTGGCTCAGTCGTTAAGTATCTGCCTTCGGCTCAGGTCATGATCCTGGGATCCTGGGATTGAGCCCCACATCGGGCTCCCTGCTAAGCAGGAAGCCTGCTTTTCTCTCTCCCACTCCCCCTGCTTGTGTTCCTTCTCTCGCTGTGTCTCCCTCTGTCAAATAAATAAATAAAATCTTTAAAAAAAAAAAAAGTGACTTGTCAGGATAGGCATTTTCATGTTTTTAACTTCATTTCTAATTTTCTTTTTCATATTATGTTCTTTTTAAAAAATATTAAGGTATTTCATTGACAAGAGTTCTTCCTATATAATCTATCATCTAAAAATTTTTTTGTTAATATTTTGATTTCTTTATGAAATTTGAGATTCAATTCAATAATATAGAACAATTTTCTCTTAACAGGAAATTCAAGCATTGGAAGAATTTAGGGAAAAAAATCAGAGATTACAAAAATTATGGGTTGGAAGATTAATTCTCTACTCTTCGATTCTCTATCTGTTTACATGTTTAATTGTATACTTGTGGTATCTTCCTGATGAATTCACAGCAAGACTTGCCATGACACTTCCATTTTTTGCTTTTCCATTGATGTAAGTAAATTGTTCTTTTAGTTGACCTTTCTTCTTTTTGACCAGTTAAAATATATTCAGTCTCTTTTTATTGTGAAATAGTAATGTTTCAGATTGAGTAAATTTGCTTTTTTTTTTCCTTTTGCAAAGTATTTAAAAAAGTAAGCCAACTGTATTAAGCTTTAATTTATAATTCAACATACCTGAGGAATATGACTCAGTGACATCAGTAATAATGGCTCTATATGAGAATCTTTTGTAATTCTCTAATAGATGGTCATGCCCCCCTAGGGATATAGGGCAAGGAGTGGGCATTTCAGATTGTGGGTAGTTGTAAGTGAGGGAGGGGTTGTAAAACAAATAAAAAATAACTGCCCCAATGATTCTGAATATATTCCATTCATCCCATCTCTTTTCCCGTCACTGCTATAAAGCGATTGACTCTTACTATAGAAATATTTTATAATATAGCACTTTACTGAAGGTGTGCCATGATTGAGAATTTTGAGAGACAATTGAATAAAAATTGGTTCATTCACTCTACAAATATTTATAGGTACCAGTTTTGTAGATGTTGGAATATAATGGTATACGGTATACAAAAATACAAAATCTCTGAATGTAGATCTTAGACTACATACATTAAATTAAGTAATAAGTATGATGAGTATCATGAAAGAGAAGTGTCAAATGCTATGGGAACATTTACCAGAGGCTCTAACACTATCTGTGGTGGAGGTGGGGTCAGGGATGAGTCTTTGTATTCATTTTCTATTGTTGCCACAAATTTAGCAGCTTAGAGCAACACCTGTCTGTTGTATCACAGTTTGTGTAGATCAGAAGTCCAGGTGGCTTGACTTGGGGTCTCTGCTTAAAGTCTTGCAGGCCTAAATCAAGGTAATCAATCAATTGGACAGGGATCTTATCTGCAGTCTCTGCAGGGGGGGGAGAATCTTCCAGGTTTAGTCAGGTTGTTTGCTGACTAGTGCCGCATCTCTCTCACTTCCAGTTCTGCCCTCAGCTCAGGGAAAGCTCTGTGTTTCAGGGTTTAACTGATTATATTAGACCCACCAGGATAATCCAGGATAATCTCTCTTGCTTAGAATCAGCTGAGTAATACTTAATTATATTTGCGAAGTCCCTTCAATTATATTTGCGAAGTCCCTTCACAGCAATACCTGGATTACTGTTTGATTGTATAACGGAGGATGGAAATCTTGGGGAGGAAGAGAGATAGCTTTAGAATTCTGCCTACCACCGCCACCCTGAGGAAGTGACCTTTGAGTTTGAGACTCAGGATGATTATGTGTTGCAAGGGTGGTGTGACATGGTGGATAATCTTTTAGGCAGAAGAAATGGCATATATGAAGGCCCTGAGGGAAATAGAGAATGGTAGATTTAAAGAATTGAAAGAAGGCCAGAGGCGCCTGGGTGGCTCAGTTGGTTGAGTGACTGCCTTCGGCTCAGGTCATGATCCTGGAGTCCCTGGATCGAGTCCCGCATTGGGCTACCTGCTCGGCAGGGAGCCCGCTTCTCCCTCTGACCCTCCCCCCTCTCATGTGCTCTCTCTCTCAAATAAATAAATTAAAAAAAAAAAAAAGAAAGAAAGAAGGCCAAAGTCTGGTTTATAGGGAAAGTCTGAATAGTTAGGCAAGGGGTATTTCTTGTGGGCCTTATAATCCATAGTAAGGATTTTAGGACTTAATCTAAGAGTAATGGGAAGCCATTGAAGATTTTTAAGAAGGAATATGATGTGATCATATTGTTATTTTGAAAATACTATTGAGGCTACACTATGGAGAATAAGTTAGAGGGGAATAAGAATGAATCTAAAGCAGCAAGTTAGGTTATGGTTGTCTAGGGGAAAAATGATTGACAGTGATTTGCAACTGAGTGGAGGCAGCAGAGTGGAAGAGAAGCAGATGGGCTGAATGAGACTTGAATGAGTATTGAAGAGTATTGAATGAGACTTGAATGAGTATTGAAGAGGTAGAATTGAGGTAGTATGGAGAGGCTCTTGGTGATTGGGTGGGTGTGAGGTGACAGGGAATAATTGCCTCAAGGATAAAATTTAAGTGTATGGCTTGGGAAATTTGTTTGATGGTAGTGTCATTCATCTAAATAGGAAATACCATCTAAACAGGGAATCCCATGAGGAAGAGCAGGTTTGCTCACTGAGACTAAACTACCTGTGTTCTATTTGGAGAGAGCTGCCAAGTGGGATGGTTAAGTATGAGTATGAAGCTCAGGAGATAAATTTGAGTGGGAGATATTAATTTAGAATTTGGCATCTTATAAATGTTAAACAGAGTCATCATCTGTTCATTCAGTAAATACTGGGCACCTGCAGTGTGTTAGGTATTGGGCTAGACCCTAGTGATTGAGAAAGTAGTGACAAGATCTGTGCCTTCCTGGAGCTTACGTTCTACTGGGATTGGACAGGTAAAAAGTGAGAGACAAGTAAACAAAGAAGTGCAGTGGAGAAAATAAACAGGGTGATAGAGAGGAACAGTCCTCTTTTGAGAAGGTGGTATTTGAATTGAGAACTAATGTACGAGAAAGAACCAGCTTGGGAAGAGTTGGAATTTGTGGAAGATAATTTATATAGATACAGTGTATGATAGCATATGTATCCATAGAAAGATGTAGGAAAGGATTATCCTCAAAATATTAATGGAAATTCTCCTTGGGCGGTGGAATTTTTAGTAGTTGTTTCTTTCCATATGTTTTTTGGTATTGCTTGAATTTTTTACATCAGTGTATTCTTCAGATCCTAAAAACAAAAACAAAAATCCAAGAGTTGAGGGAAGGTCTTTACAGGAAGAGAGAACAGAAAATACAAAGGCTGTGAGGTAGGAGAGAGCATGACTTATTTTAGGGTTAAAAAGATCAGTATAAGGAATGTGTGATGGAGAGAAAAAGTGATAGGGCGTGTGCTTGCAGAATCAGATAGTATCTGGATCATGGGAGGGTCATGGCCTAGGAGTTTATATTTCATTTTGGGTGAAATGGGAAGCTTGTAAAGGTTTTAATGGAAGAATGGCATGATGAGATTTAAGTCAAGAGGATCATGTGTACTGCCTGTGGAGATTGAGGAGGACAAGGGTAGAAACAGGGAGATCAGCTAGGATGCTGTTATAGGGGTTTTAAGGTAAAGATGGATTTGACATCTCAGTGGCAGTGGAGATGAATAGATGACTTGGCAGTATTTCAGAACTACAACTGAGACAACTTGGCAGGAGGAAGTGGAAGGTAAGGGAAAAGAAGGAATTGGGTGATATTTAGGTTTTTTAGTTTGACATTTGGCAGGTGTAGGATCTCTTTCTTTGGGACTGATGTAGTAAAAAAATTTGTTTGTTTAGTCTTTAGTGCAGGGCATATTTTCAAATTGGAACTCCTGGAGATCACAAAATTGTAGCTTTGTATATAGATAAAAGAGCCAAAAATTGAGTGCATGCATATTACCAAATAAAACCTCTGCCATTTTCTTTATTTTTTTTCTCTTTTGGAATTTTTTAGAATGCTTCTTATCCCAGGTGTGGCAGTAGATTTTATAATGCTGAGACCCTTTCCCTTGTTCATTTCTAGTTTTTTATAAGAAGAGGGGAGAAAAAAAATTTAGAAAGGGAATAAATGTGTTGGAAGCATCTTTAAAAAACTTAGAAAAAACTCATTTGACCTCCATTTCCATATCAAAATTGATTTTTTGATTATGAAAAATTTTTATCTAGTTGCAAAAGAATGTCTGACAGGGAACTTTACTGTGCTAATTGTAATGGCTCTTCACAAACTGATTTACTGGGTCTGCTATTATGCTGCAGAAGACTTTTTTTGGGCAAATAAATGATATTACTAATTGTTCTTAAAAGTAGAAAAATGTAATTTCTTTAAAAATATCTGTTATTTCTTCAGTTTGATCTTTCTACTGTTTTGAGTATGAGGCTCTATTATCCTTGCTGTGTCCTTCTGCCTGTTCTGCATCACCTGCATCTAGTATTTCTTGGTTTGTTAAGCTTCAGAGCCATTTCTCACTTTGTCTCATTCACATTTGTGACCTGGTTCTCAGCTGCCGCAGCTTCTATTTCACTGAGCTCTTCACTTTTGGAAGCATAGGCCAGTTATCAAACAAAGAATAGAATTGTCCTCCTGATTGATGACAATCAAAAATAAAATACAACAACATGAAAGTAGATGTTGTGGTATGTAGAAAGAAGACTTACCACAGGACATTTTCTTTTGTGTGAGCTATTGCCTTAGCTTATTCCTGGACTTTTTTCCTTTGGAAACAGAAATTTTGAGGTGTAGACCAGGGTTTACTTAAAGAAATGGAAGCAGAAAGAGCAATAAAATGTAGTGTTTTACTTATCACTGTCTATACTGATTATATAGCTTAGAAATCTACCTGATAACTGCAAAAAGTGACTGTTATTTCTGCATTCCAGGTTTCCCAAATGCTTTTACTGGACAGAGAAGTCATGGATTCAGGACTGAGCATATATTACATAATCATAACTATCTTAAAATTATCTTTTGTGATAGAATATCAATATTCTATATAAGATGCTGTGATTTTTATTATATCTTCTTTCCTTCATATGGAGGAACTTGGTATGATTCCACCCTATTATTTTTTTGCCTTTCAGATTCAATAATTTATATCTCTGATCTTTTCAACTATTACTGAAACAAATTATAACCTAAATGCTGAACTTATTTCATAGGAGTCATTAAGGCTATGGTCCATGGTGAGGGAAGGTTTGGATTACAGTTTAAATTTTGTATTTCTTGATTATGCTGCCAAGTATGCATTACTGTGGGAATTGGTTCATTTTCTAAGAGTGAACAACCATTAAGCTTTGTCTCTACCCTTAACTAACTCTACAAGCAATCCTAGACTTTTACTCCTGGATACTTTATTCTTACAGATTATAACTTCCTAGAAATTTCATTCTCTATAAGATCATTACAGAGGCTTATTGGCATAAAACATTGACCTTCCCAGAGGATTTAACAATATTTTC